AAGATATATATCCAAGAACAGATAGTAAATAGTAAAATATTGCTGAGAGTTATAATGGACAGGAAATAGTGGAGAGCCATTGTTGCCAACAATTTGGACTCAAAACCAGCACTGAAAAATTATCTATCAAACAAAAAAATTTTTATCAAAATCTAATGAAAACTGTGTAAACGCATAAACAATATTCAATCATACACACACATTTTGAGAATTATAGATAAAATAATAAATGAAAATTATTTGTGCTTGTTTATACTTTTTAACTGATTATTTAAAAACAATAAGACTCAGAAAATTAAATATGTTAAAATAAACATCAAAAATTGTAGAATTGTTTGAATCACTTTTACACTGTAATTGATTTTTTTACATATTTGGGTTAACATTTTGTAAATTGTTATTGTTCAAATCATAATTTGAAAGCAAATTAAAAACCTCTAGTGGCAGATTCACAAACTAATAGCAGTAAATTCTAAATGTGCTAAAGAATTGGAATAGTCAGAGCAAAGAGTGTCAGATTAGAATTATACAACTTGTACTTATTTTATGAAGTTCACAAGAATAAAATATCACTGTTCACCTTGAAAAGCTTTTAAGCAGACTATCTTCAGGTTCTAAGTCTGGGATGTTGCCAATTGAACTAAAACTTATTTTGAAACATGCACATGTCTGAGACGGCTTCCCACCCAGCCACTTAACCATGATAATAAACATGATTGGCACCACTCCAACTTCTCTCATAATGCTCAAGAATGATGGTGAAACAAACACTAAGAACCACTCAACCCAATCCTCAAGAATAAGTATGTATCTCAGACATGAAATAAGTCAGACATTGGACACAGCTGTCCAAATTTGACAAATGTCCAACAACAGGCCAAAATAATTTGTTTAATTTGGATATTGTCCAATCAAATTTGCAAAAGTTATTTTGATTTCATGATTCTCTAAGAAAAAGTTATTTGCATGGACAATTCAATAACAAAAAATTAGGAATTAAATTTGTATAATTTTTTTAATAATTTGTATATAAAACTGTCACTCAAAAGTTTCCAATGTTTTAGTATTTTAAATATCATTGTTTTGTTTTATTTTACCATAGTAAACACATTTATACATTATACTTGAGGTAAATAGCAATAGGGAAAAAATGTTCAGACCAAAAAATCATGTCAAAGGTCGTAATTCCAAGGATCAAAAAACAGTCTGACAATTTCAACATGATAAAAAATGCTGGGGGCATATATCAAAAGAATAAACATCCACCTTACAACTTGCAATGCACAACTAACTTCTTCTTCACCCACAGAGAGCCAGAAAACATGGTGGTCCATAATAGAGTTATTTTATTTTAGCTAAAAAAGGTTGTGATTGGTCAAGACTGGTCAGTCAGTTATATGCCATGTGTGATACACACTTAGGAGATCATGTATCTTTCGATACATGACTGACAAGGCAGATTATTTTTCCTGCAGTAGGTTGGTATTTCTTCATGTGGTATACCAGTTGCCATTCAAGGCTATAGAACCTGGTCTGTCCTGCTAGTTACCCATAGCTGTGGGGAGAAGTAGAGGATTCATACCTTTCCCAAGGGTACTTGCATGTAAGTGGATGTAATGGATTTGAGTTGAATTCGAACTCAGTTCTCCAATTCCTCAATCCAAGCTGTTATCCATTACTCCACCATGGCTCCTGGTAGAGAAGTGTAAACAAAAGTAGGGTTGACTGTATTAGGCCATAGAATATGGTAACTATTGCAAGATTTTCAAAAGTCAACACAATCTTGATTCTGATTTTCTTTTCTGACAGACAGCAGAGAAAACATTCTTTTTTGAGGTAAGACTTAGTTTTTTCCTTCATCATAACAAATCTATTTTTATTTCACTATGTTAGTATTGTAATATGACGTCCATTTAAAATGGAAAAATAAAAATTAATTATACTAACACAAATGAAAAGGTTTGTCTACAAAACTCTAGAATCGAGTTGCTGAATATAACATCAATGAGGTAAGTGTCAAAATTTATTTGCATTAATCTTATATATATATATATATATATATATATATCTCATGGCTCTCCACAAATTCGTTTTGAATTCAGAGTAGTCTCTCTTCAAGTCAGGTTACCATCCAAAGCTAAAGATCCCACATTGCCCTGCTATTTAACCCTTAGCTGAAAGTAGAAGAGACAAATCCATGCTTTTCTCACTAGAATTAGTATGTTGTGTCCATTAAAAATAAATAAAAAAATAATTATGCTATCACAAATAATTATAATGAAATAATTATAACAATTATAATTATCATTAATACAATTCATCCTTTCTAAGCCAATGAAAGTCAACACTACTCTTCTCCTTTACCACACACAAGCATGTGGCATACTCACTATCGGACAAGCAGTCAACATGAGGGGGGGGGGCATAATTCTTTGCTCTTTACTTTTCAGACCACAATGGTAATGTTTATCCCTTCTTAATACTCATAACTAAAACTTGACAAAAGAAAACTGCAGACTTCATTTATTTTCTCCAACTAAATTATTGGTACACTCACTATAAAAATTATATAAAAAAAAAAACACATAAAAAAGACTATATACAATCTATTCAGTAACACTGTCTCTCATGTCTCCAACACCACATAACAATCACTGTCGACATCTTGTTGAAAAAGGTTATTATAATAAATAATACTTGTTTTGTTGTTTCCATATCTTGCTGTTTTACATTTTATATAAGTATTTTTGTATGTATAAACGTTAGGGATTTTACAATTTTGTTCCTGTGTTTTTTGTAAGAGAGATTAGCAAAAAGCACTAAACTTTAAAGGAAACGTTATTCAGGAAAGAGTTAATTTTATTATTATTGAACATATAAAACTTTACAGGAAAAGAAATTCCCTCTGGCCCAAAGTGAGCTGGTAAATTAGTTTTGAAAGATATCCACAACCATCAATTTTTAAGTGATTCTTCAATATCCAGAGTAGGTGGCTGTCCCAAACATCTGGCCTATAATCTATATATATATATATATATATATATATATATATATAAATATATGTGTAAAAATTTCTCAGAATTAACATGTAGAAAAAGACGAAATATATAAAGGAAAAAAGACAATAGGAAAACTGTAGTTTTAGCTGACACATTTCATCCAATGTGGACTTTTTTCAAGGCAAAAAACAAAATAAATTCATTGAAACAAAGTATCTATAAACAACAAACAAAATCTTATTAGCAACTAGAAGAATTTAGAAACACTATTGTATATTCATTTGGTCAACTGAAAAATTATGTCAATTGTTTTTATGTTTGAAGAATATTTTTTGTACATTTGTGTAAAAGAATACTTTTTCTTTTAGATTAATATTTGATAATATAAAATCACATTTCTTAAAAGAATCATGAAAAGATATCAAGAAATGAAAAGAAATGTCTGAATCTGTCAACACAACAATAAAAACAATATTTCTACATTTGAAAATATTCTCTTCAAACATAAAGTAATTGACATAACTTTTCAGTTAACCATATGAATATACAATAGTGTTTCTAAAGTCTTCTAGTTGCTAATGAGATTTTGTTTGTTGTTTATAGATACTTTCTTTCAATAAATTTATTTGTTTTTTGTCTTGAGAAAGCCCACATTTGACAAAAAGCATCAGCTGAAACTAGTTTTCCTATTGTCTTTTTTCCTTGATACATAAATATGTATATATTTATATTTACATACACTATATCTCTGACATTGAGCACTTTTAACCATAAGTAGAGCATACCTTAAACTATATATATATATATATATATATATATATAGTTTATGCAAATTTAGGTAATCCGTATGGGTAGACCTGAGGAGGATGATATCCAGAGAGCTCAATGTAAAATTCAGACTAGATATGTTTGAATAAAAGACGAACCACGTTAAATTCCATGTAATAAAGCTATTTCACCATAACCCCTTTAACAGGGTTCTGGATCATCGCTTTTTTGGAAGTAAAGTCTGATGATCCAGAACCCTGTTAAAGGGGTTATGGTGAAATAGCTTATTACATGGAATCTTAACGTGATCTGTCTTTTATTCAAACATATATATATATATATATATATATATATATATATATATATATATATATATACACACACACACACACTATTGGGATATAGTGTCTATATATGTAAACACTATAGCTCCCAAATTTAAGGCCACTCTCTGGATTTAAAAATCAATAAATTTCATACCTTCTTTGGATTAATTAAATCCTACTAGGCTCAGATACTGAAACTATTTAACTAGTTAATGCATAGAATCCAGTTTTTTAGAGGGGTTTACCTAAAATTTTTAAATCAGTCACCCCTAAGATTACCATTAGCCAGCAAGGTGGATTAGGTAAAAAGAGACAAATTTTAAGGAAACTTTATGCAGTAATAGGTTAATTTCATTGTCATCATCATAAATATTATTAAATATATAATTAAACTCTTTAGGAAGACAAAGTTTTTCTGGCCCAAAATAAGCTTGTAAATTATTTTTGAAAAAGGCATGCAAACTTTAATTTTCAGACAATTCTTCAATATCCACAGGGTGTCTCCAAACTTTTGATCTATACAATTAAGTTCAGCTCAAAATATAAATCAGATGTTTTATGTTATGGATAGAATGAAGGTGTATCTGACTGATTTGATTTTATGGCTTATCAATATTTTACAGGTTATTTAAAGCTAGAAAATATTTTTAGGTTATAATTTATTTTTAGATATAATAATGATTTACTGATACAAGTTATACTGCTGAAGGGAGGAAAAGGCTAACCATCTAGATACTGACCACTTGTTTAACTGGAACAGGAACATGATATGGTCATAAGCAAAGACAGAAATATAAAAATAAACCAAGAGAGAGAGAGTGGGGGGAGATATTAGACTGGAATTCAAACTCAAATCTCTGATTTCTTATTCTGAGTATTTATCCATTACACCACCCACACACCCAAG